CCACATGCCTCATCAGAGCCAAAAAAAAATCCTTTGAAAACATACAGTACATGCAACCAAATACTGTGACCAGAAATCCCAGAAATTTGAGAATGTTTTCCCATGAAGAAAGTTATTCAAATATTCCCACTGCATCAATGTCATTCACAGCTCCCTCTCACAAACCAAAGTGACTCTTCCTTTCCACGTGACTATTGATTGTGGGTTTCCAGATTGCTTTATCTCAACCTGACAAATTAGAAATCAATGCATATGTCTGAGCACAGCCAACAATAAGTTATTGGCTCATCTTGACTGTTCAGGATCACTTATTTTAGGATAAAGTTAAATAAAAAGGTAAAAGTAATAGATAAAAGTAAAATATGATAATTGTTTGGGTTTACCACAGTGGTGTCAAAATCTATCATCCAAAGTAAAACAAAACTCCAGATATAACAGATTGAGTGATATTTAAAGTTGGTAAAGTCTCTAAAATGAAAATATTCAGGGATGGCGGGACTTGCCCATAATGCAAACTGCATTTTGTTCAATGAGAGCTTTGCGGTCTTGCTCTGAAGTATACAGGAACAAGGAGAGAACTTCCTCTCACTATCAATCAGGAAATTCTATCAGCATACAGGAAAGTATTGTTGCAGCATTTCTGCATGGTGCCAATGCCTTCTATACTATACTGTGCAAAAGGTCTCGAGCCACCTGCCATTTCCTTATTTGCTCAAGAGTTTTGCTCTGTTCTATGGACCACAGTGTGTGCAGAAATAAGTACTGTGATTTTACATAAATTAGATCACATTCCTAGGTTAGTCCAGGACGTTTAGGACATCTCATATTTTCAGCTTGCATTGTCATGTTAAATAGCAAGGATCCACCTGGAGTTAGAAGAGTACTGCCTGCAGAGTTTCATCATTGTTATTATTATTGTTATTTTAATGTTGTGGTTTTCTTGAAAGACAGGTTTTTTTTTTATTCTCTTCACCTCTTCTCAGACTTCTGAAATCTGATCTGGGTGTTTCTCCCCACCCCCCTTTTCCCAACCTCCTGCATGCCAGAGTACTTGGCTCTGCCCTCAGTCTGGTCTCAAGTTTCTGCAGACCTACAGCAGATTGTTTATTTTGCTGGACATGGAGGAAACACGGATGGACCCTTCACTGGCTCAAGATTTACTGTTAAGCCAGGCTCCCGTGTCATCTGTATTTAGAACAAGACTCCCTTTAACAGCAAGCTCTTTATCCTTTGCAAAAATGGCACATTACTAAGGACAATGGGATTGTCTGCTTGGGTAATGTAATGCTAGGGGATTACATCATTTGATACAACATAGCACTGGGTAGACAACAGTCTACTAATCCTGCTCGCTGAGGTCATTTATAATTCATTGAAGCACACATACCATCATCCTATTTTGGACAAAGGGCAGAAAAATCTATATACCCTAGTGATGGTGGAGAAGGACAAAACATTTCCCCGGAGATCATTTCTGCTAAAATTTATGAGGTTACTCTTCACCACTGACACCACAGTGTAAGTGCTGAGGTCAGGGTATTAGGTAAAAATAGCCTTAGGAAGCACATGCATTGTATGTCTGTATTAAATAGCTGCATGCAATTAAAATGGATTACAGATATGAAGGTAGCAACACTAGCGTTTTCCTCTTTTACTTCTTTTAAAACTTTTCCATCAGTAGCTGTGGGGTTAGTGAAGTACGTGCAAATACTGTGGTCTCACCATCCAGGAAATGCATATCTTGTTGACGGAAATTCTTCCTGTGAAATTTGAAATAAATTATGGTGCACACGCCTTTCATCCTAGCCATCAGTAATGCACAGTGAAGCTCCTTTAGAGGCAATTGTGATTTATGGGACACACAAGGGAGAGGGAAGAATGTGCATTCAGTACTTTGGAGGAACAGAGAAGCAAAGAGAGCAAATTGCAATGTGAAAGAGAACTGACTGCTCATGAACCGGCGTCTACAGTTTTCTCACTTTAAGCGTGGTTTACTTTCACCCTCAGACAGGTCATGAAGAGTACAAATGCTTCATACTTAATTTCATTTTGTGATGTTTTTGGTATCATGTCCTGAGCAGCCAATCAAGTAATACAATTTCCTCAACGGGAATTATGAACAAAGAGTGAATTGAGGCCTGAACAGAAAGAGAAAATGGTACTTGAGGTGAATGATTGTGTGGTCAATGAAATGAGTCATATGCTTTTTTTCAGTATTTCGTTGTAGCTATACTGCTTATCAGTATACCACAGTCTCAGTGAAAAATTTCTTTACCAGAACCACAAGACTAGGGTTATGTCAGATTACTATGAGTTCAATGCAACCATGAAAAAAAATATGTGAAAACCAAAAAGACATGATGTTTTCTTAGAGGAAGTTGGTGCTATGAATTGAGGTTGTTTGTGGCCGTCTGGGTCTGTAAGGCAACTCAGCAGGAGCAAAGGTGGAGGTTGGAATGTCAGTGAGGGTCAGAGAAGGTCACGGGGAAATGACCTTTTGGATGAGTCAGGAGTCCATTCACTGGAACCCCAGCTGTGATGGACAGGTCACGTGGAGGTCTCCACCAGTTCATACGCAGACATGCTCATACAGTCACCCTGCTTTGTCATTTGTAGACATTACAGACCAAGCTGGAGAAAACTTTGACGGCTCATTTAGGACAAGATATACCTCCCTTTGTCAAATAACATCTAACTTTTGAGTAAAACAGTTAGACCTATGGCAAAACTTGAGAGAGCTAAGATAAAATATCTGAAGAGATACTTCAGTAGATTCAAAAAAGGTCAACCTGAGAACTGACCACACTGTTCAACTAACAACAGACTGCTTAGCTTTATTGGCTAAAATTATATCAGAACCCCCCCCCCCACCACCACCACCCCTAAATAAATAAATAAATAAAATGAAATAAAATAAAATAAAATGAAATAAGTAAATAATTTTAAAATAATGACCGGCTATGTTTTCTATCACTTTGGCCAATGAAGTACACCCAAAATACAAGTAAGGCAAGATGAAGAGAGTCATCCTTCACTTTATGAAAACTAAAAGGAAATAAAAATTGTACAATTTTTAAGACCTCATGTGTGCTATTATCATGATATTTTATGTGTAAATATCATGGTTATCTTCAGTAGTGACAACAAACCTGTTTACTATTTTAAAAAGAGATTATTACTACTACTATTATTATTAGTAGTAGTATCACTATTAGAAAAGGAAACAAAATCTGCCTGTTCTGAACCAGTTTTCAAGGTAACGTTATAGGTGTTCCTTCCAAACGATAACAATACAAAAACTCAAAGCATACAAATGGACCAGGCCAGATAGACAACACAATTAGCCTTATCTTTATATTAACTCATTAAAAATCAAAAAACAAACAGAAAAAAACAAGGAAACAAACAAAAAAACTATCCGACTTCACTGGCACATGTATTTGTGTATTTATCTTATTTATTCTCTCTCTTTCCCTGCTTCACCTTTCATTTGACAGAGGAAGGCTGCGTTCCCGTGTCTGTGTGCGTCTTTGGGGAGAGTACCTGCGCATCACAGGCATATATAGTTTGTAGGCGACGAGTGCGTGACTTCTGAGAGCCCTGCAAACTAAATTGCTGTGTTTTTTTTTTCATAGTATCGCTGCTTAAATGAATTGTTCACTGTGGGCCATAATCAGAACAACGGGAAATGCCTTGGTGCTCCCGGCGGACAGTTTACGGACTTGTATCCATTGGTATAGAAGAAAAACTGTACGTATACAGCTTCACTGGGTTACAAAATATACTGAACTTTCATATCCCGAGAATTTTCACTTACTTTATATTAATGTCAGAGCAAGAAATTAAGAGCGTCATCTCAGTAATTCACTCTCAGCTGCCATCTACTGGTTGTTCTTGTATTTGTTTGGCTTCACTTTCCTTTGGTCAGAACATTTACTCCAAAAATATGTCACTGCAGTCATATGCAGTTTACACAAAATAATAGGAAATGTTATAGGATGTACTTTTTTCAAACAGGAGGGACTTTAAGACAGCAGGAAGTACTATAAATAGTATAGCTACAGTCATATTTTGCTGAGAACCTACTTGAAAATATGTCATATATACATATTGAATTGAATTTGATAGTTTTAGTGACTGTTAAAATAGCAATGAGCTTGACTCCTGATTGAATAACTCTTATCCAAGGCTCAACAATGTGTTAATGATTTTGCTATAATTTTGCATCACATTACACAGTAATTTAATTAGAAAATAACCAGCATGCATTAATTTTGGGCCTGGTGAAGGATCAGAAGGTCTTTACATATCTCATAGCACATCCAGTTTATGTATTTTTTCACAAGCACTGCTGCTTGAACATTGTTTAAACCCAGGTAGTACTCCAGGACTATTATAATGTGCATTTTTGTTGCTGTTGTTGTTGTTGTTGTTGTTGTTGTTGCAATGTCTCATTTCCTTCTCAGTTTTATGCAGTGCATTTTGAAACAGCCTGTAGTTTGAAGTGGTACACACATGCATTGCATGAAGGCCAGAATAACCAACTAAGCAGGCCAAGCAGGCAACTGCTCAGGATTCCCAGAGGTCAACCAAACCCTAAACCCACTGCTTCCCAGTTTACTGAATCAATTATGTACTCATTTATTAAAGGACTGGGGTCTCTAAATGTTTTATTTAATCCATATCCTGCTTACAGTGTCATTTGACACTGTAGCCTATAAAGAAAATGGAAGCTTACAATAGAGGCCCATCAGTATTCGTTGCAAGCAGTCCCTTCAGAACTTTGTTCTAGTTATAGACTTAAAAACAAAACAAAACAGGCTCAGTTCATTTGACAGAACCTGTTGAATATTCAGTAACATTCAGTTTTATATATATATATATATATGAAAAGCAAAATGAGCACAACCTAACTCGAGTTTGGGCACAGTTTTCACATGCACAACAGTCGGTTTGCAGACGCGTAGGCTGGAAGAACCCTCAACCAGCTAACCACCCAGCTCTCCCGTGAGCTCCGCGCTGATTGGCTAAAATCGAGTAAAGGCGGAAGTCTACAGTATGAGGGGATTCCCCGAGGGAAGTTCCCAACTCAACTAGGCTATGTAAAACATACATTGCCATATCCTCTCCAGCGCTTGGTAACTTTGCATCTCAAGATTAGGCGACGACGCTGCGGTAGTGTCAAAACAATAAATTCGACTTCAACAGTTACTCGAATGAAGGTAAGAGGACACTCGCACTGGCAGCGAGGTAAACTCATCTCAGGACTTCTCGCTCAGTCGCTTTATCCGACGCCGGCTGAAGCTACGGCTTGTCAGACACTTACACTTTAAAGAATACGGAACTGTTTAAAGAAGATTTTGAGCGACTCTTTTAAAATGACCCACGGCTTTGTCCCGGTAGGCTTCAACATTAGCGTTACTCTCCTTTTACTTACTGAGTCTGTGGCTACAGGCTGCTACTTATCCAGGAGCTGTTGGAGTGTAGTATCGCTTACAGGTACTGCGTTACTATGGCATTTATTAGGAAGGCTGTTCCGTAATTGAGCGGCTCTTTATGAGACTGCTGTCAGGAGTTAAGATAATGATAGGCATCACTTTAGCTTTCTGACAGAAGTGCAGTCGTCCCAGAATTGCTTAATGCTGTCTGATGATCAGTACTAACAAGAAGGAGTGTCTGTTTCACCAGTGTTATACTCATATATTACACATGCACTGAGTAACTTTATTTGTCATTACTTTACAATACTTGATCTTCATCTTCAGCTCTTATAATTCCTTACAGAACTAGAACAAGGCTTTAATGGTTGAAATATGAAGGGAATTTTTAATTCTACCAGACCTGCCAACATTCATTGGTAATAAGCAAATATTTTGAAGATTGTTTACTCAGTTTTGGCATGGTTTTGTCATTTGGATCAGTAGCTCATTTAAAGCAGCCAAAACAATTTGGCAGCACGTTAAGGATTTCTTGACTTTTTCAAAAAATATTTTTAAAGTGCACGAAGACTAGTTGACAGTTGTTTGTAAAAATGTTATAAAAATGGCCGGGATGGGGATAAAAAAGGAAATCTTTTTAGTTTTATAACCGGTCTAATAGTGTTCACGGGGTCTTTTGAGAGTGTTTTTCCTTTTGTTGGCATGTTTTACAACATTTTGTAGTTTCACTCGTAGGGCTCATGTGTGCTGTGTCAGTGATGATTGTGGAGCACAAGGCATGGAAAGGAACATCGGAGACCAGCTCAATAAAGCATTTGAAGCTTATCGTCAGGTCTCCATTGAAAAGGACATTGCTAAAAAGGAGCTGCAGAAAGTGGTAATGATGAAGAGCAACTTTTTAAAAACTTTGTGCAGAATGGACCAAGAATTAACAATATACCACAACACATCCCAGAGCAAATTACATTGCTAGCTTTTCAAACAAATAATGTTTATTCTAATTATGTTATTAAATGGCATATATAGAATAGCATTATTATTAGTTAGGTTGCTTCCAGATATGAAACTACAACACAGTGCTTAGACCACAGTGGATATGCTGGTTCTAGACAAATAACAGTACCTCCATTTTACAGACTGAGTATTATGAGCAATATACTCGAGACCTTCAAAAGCAGATAGAAGATCAACAGCAACTGATTTCAGAACTTGAAGCAAAGTTGTCAGCAACAAGGCAACCATCAGGTTAGTGATGTGTTAGTTTGTTATTGATGTGTTAGTTTTACTGCTTTTCCCCCCCAGCTGGTGTACCGAGTAGGGATTTACTTTACACATTGCTTTCAATTCTGTGGATTGAGATGTAAACAAAGCGATGGACTATCAGACTATATTGAGAATTCATTTGAATTTCCTCTTTTATAAACTGCTCATTTTCATTGTTTTCATTTTCAGGAGAAATGAAATGCGAGCCATGTAGTCATCTTCTTGACGGGGCCAGCACTTATAGGAAATTACAGTACCCGGTATGTTTATAGTTATAACATGCTCTTTCTGCATTTAGGCTTTATGAAAACTACAATATTGTATTTCCAAAACAGCTTTCCCATTAGGAAATCAGAAATGTGATCGCATACGGCTTCCTCTCGCATATGTAGAAGTTGATGGTACTTCTGCTTTACTATGTTGCATGTGTGTTAAGGTAAAGGGATGTTAAAAGAACACTTTGTGCTAGTACTCAGTGAATACAGTATTAACTGTAAAGCTTAAACTATTGCTTATTCAGATTTGTCACTCTAGTTGTGTGACAGTGTTTATGTGTCAAGTTTACATGTACTTTAAAGAAAGCTAAGTGATATTCTATAAACCCTATCAAAATGATGTTTTAGTAATTTTACATAGTTCTGATTATTTGTTTTCCTGTCATTCAGGCATTCAGGCCTGCTTTGCTACTGTAATAGTATCTACTCTCTGTTGCTCTCCTCACTCAGTGTATCCACTTTTACTTCACCAGATGGTGCTAGAGGATAATATCGCTGCACAGTTCAGCAGCTTGAGTTTTACAGTTATTATTATTTTTCACTAGGAAATATAAATGTGTGATGTTTAAATAAAGCTGCAGATTTATGAACAATATTCCCTTGTGTAATTGCTGTAAATGATCACTATTAATTTAATGTGTCTTTTTCAGGAGAATATGGGCTCTGTTGCCGTTGCTCCTAATATGCCAATCAACAGCAGCGTTGACTAGTATGTGTCAATCTTTTTTTAAAGCCATGAATATTATGGTAAAAGAATGGATTTTCTTTTGTTCCTTACTCCTGCTTTATCTGTTTGTCAGTCAGGAAATGCGGGAAGCATTTGAAGCCATTGAAGGGAAATTTCGACAGATCCGGTCTTTAACCAAAAGACAAAAAGATTACTTAAAAAGATTCCATGGAGGAAGTGATGCATCAAATGGTAATATTAATATTTACTGACTATTACCTTCTGTTTTTCAGTGTCTGAATCTGAAAGCAATTGTTTTCTCTAATTGGTCACATAAAAAGCGTGTTTAATTTAAATAGGCTTGTGTAGTTTATAACAGCTTACGAGTTTACTAGCTTTTTGTCTTGTTGTTTAATTGGATAGCGACACCATGACACGGACTGTACATGAATGCCTGATTGCCCTACGAACCTTAGCTGGCCACCTCTGAAAAAAGGTGGATAAACACATTTAATAATTCCACTGACAAAATGCTTAATGCCAGTTCTACATAATGCTACATAAAAAAAATAATGTGGTTATATTAAACATATACCTCTAAGTACTGAAAGGCCAACTTGGAAATGGGAATGCAAAAACAAACTAGGCATTTTTTAAAATGTGTGTAACTTGTGAAATCGTTGCCAATTTCAAATGTCCTTAAACCACATCTATGTCCGCGAGTTGACTCGGAAATAAATAATAATCTTTATTTTTCTGCCTTCTCAACAGATCAGCGGTTCTCCATGCCCATCCAATGCACAGACCGTACCGCAGATTCAGAGGGACCATTTTCCTCAGCTCTAAGGACAGTGGATATCTCTCCCATGTCTACCTCTCTGGCATCCCGTGGCACCAGCCAGGAAGACAAGGACTTGGTAGAATCTCTCACCAAACTGAGCGTCAAATTCCCGCCCTCTGCGGACAGTGAATATGACTTCCTGAACAGTGCTCCGGATAGACAGATTGGTCTACCCATGGCTGTCCCGCGACCTCTCAGTAATGTCTCCTCCACACTGACAGAGAAGGAGTCCGTGCCTTTTGTCTACCCTAACTCCCCCTCCCACACAACATCATCTACACTCTCCCAGGAGAGCGTGCGGGGACCCCAGCAGGTGAGAATCACAGGAGAAGGTCTGAGAAAACTAGTAGCAAATTATCAGTTTCTGATTGGTCTTTACTAATGGAGGAGTGAAACAGTGTGAAGTCCAAAAATATCCCCTTGGCTAAACTTGAAACGTATTACTGTGTAATGTGTGCTGATTCTTTTTTTACTTAAGCATGGATGCTCTAGTTATATTTGGCATCTTTGCTGGAAAGTGTGAGCCAGATGGAAGCGCATTACAGTGTCTGAATGTGATTTGAAACAAGTACGATGGTTAAGTGGGATTTTATTGCTGATGTGTCTAAATGCCTAATAGGGTAAAAAAAAGTGAATGACGTGCATTAACGGCTGCAAGTTGGTCCAGTTTTCATTATATGATTCAGTCGCTGGATTACACCAACACAGGCATTAATAATAGGTATGACTATTTGGATAGTTTGAACACAGTATTCATAAATAGTAAGTTAATTAAACACTTGAGAATAGCATTTTGCCTTTACTTTTCTGCCTAGTATTTGTTCTAACTATTGGGTTAACAGGGGACATGTGTTCTTTAAAGCAACAGATACCGCAATTTTGAGGCCAAGTGGTCCAGCCTACTTTAGTAGTAGGCTGCGTAGAGTGACTGTAAGGACAGTTTAGAGCATAAATAATACATTTCTTCCCTTTGATTCATCCTGCTCTGCAGTCTGTCTGGATACCGGATCTGTGTGATGCAGCTGCTGTGGGGACAGAGCTGGAGACACCTCAGAGCAGCACTCCTGAATGTGCTTTCTGCAATGCTGTGGTTCCTCCAGACCAAATGAACAGCCACCTCTACTTGCATTTCTCTCATAAGAATGAAGCAGACAAGTGACGGTAGAAGCAGAGACTGATGGGAAGAAGCCACAACTATTTCAAGACTTTACTGTTTTCATGGTGTAGCCGTGCCTGCCATGAAGTACAAGCGCTGTACTGGACTTCAAATGACACTGCAATAAGACTTGAATTCATTTATTTAATACTGAAGAATTAAATGGTACATTTCTTTGCCCATTATATTTTTCTAAAACCCCACTGAGATTTTACAGTGATGCATATGGTATATGTGAGCAAATAAACACATTTAGACTCGTAACATTTTTTATTACTTGATTTGTTTTCAACTTGCAAATATATAATACAGTATGAATATATAATATATAGATTGGTATATGCATCCATAAATAACAAAGAGTGCGTGTGATATTACTTCATGTTATATCTTTAGCACGTTTATACATTTTTATTTTAAAAATAATGAACTTTCAAAGATATATCACATTTCTAAAGCTACAATATTTCATACACACACACACACACACTTTTTTTTCTGAAACAAGACACCTCTCTCACTTTATGGTGGGTTTTGGATCTCAAGGAATAATAATATATTATGTATTAGAAATGCCCATCATCTGTATTAAATTAATCAAACATAAATTATATCTGGAATGATTAACGTAGTAATTCTCGTCATTCCTCCCCATTTTTCACTTAAGCCAGAATAATATGAAGCAGCTGTTTATCTCGGTGTAGAAACATTTCCAACTTTCAGTTACTTTTATGACCATATGTTCATTAAGATTGTCCACAGAGATACTCTCACTCATTAGATGGCAAATTACCCTGCTATCTGCTACTTATTGTTTTATCACAGGCAATATTTAACTGTTTATATGGGTGCATTTATTTTAATGATTATAGGAACGTGATATGAGTCTTCTTTCATTTCAACTGTGCTATTCAAAGTAATAAAGTGACTGAAGATGTGCCAGTTTTAAATTACGTTACACTGCTACACCGCTACGCTGTCATGTGACTGGAAAACAACGGCAGTTTTTTCCCCCTTTGATACGTTAAAAGAGACCGAACAAGGAAACACAGGTGTTTTATAAATACACGTTCATATTTTACAGTGTGTAGCGATCATTTGACTAAACCTGAATCATTTTTAAACAGCAGCATCATTTCATGACTACCGCAGCATTTATTCACACCTTTGCAAAGATTGCAGTGATTTTCACCATTCAGTGTGATGATGTTTGAGAAAACGGGGACACTGTGTTGGAACACTTTGTTGTGCAGTGAGGCCCTTGCAGACCTTCAGCTTTGGGTTGGTAACACTTGTGCTGGATAGATGAGCTGGTGTGAAGACTGCAAACAACATTTTTTTCTCTTTTTACAAGTGCTGAATATTAGAACTGAGTTACAACAATCAAGTACCCCTAAAAGACCGACTGATTTGTTAGTTCAGATTTAACCTCCTAAGACCCGAACTCTTCCACGGCATGCATTTTTCATTTATCTTTGATATTTGGTCACATTGGGGCCCGATGAATGTAAAAACAAAGAATTACCAGATTTTTTTTTTACCTTATTTTTGTTTTTAATAAAAATAAGAGCCACATATGAGGATATTCATTTAAAATTGTGATAGAACAGTAGCAGTATAATGTCCTCATAAGTGGATATCAGGCCCTTGTAGAGCAAAATTCAGTATTTTGGTCTAAATAACCCAAAATGTGATGTCCACATATGTGGACGCCAGGTCCTAGGAGGTTAAATGATATCTGCTGATGAGCCTGTCTTTGTATTATATAAATAGCTCCAAAGGGTGTAAGTAAGTGATGTTATAATGCTATTAACTACCCTGAACTAATGAGTCATTAGACTAATGCAATATTCTCACACAATGCAACCTTTCTGTAGAGGGAAATAATGAAAAGACCAGCCAACTGGAGTATTACAAACGTGAATATTACCTACATATTGATCTGACGTAATGTGTCAGACATAATGCGTGTTTCTTTTGGAGTGATATAAACCGCATAATTCTTCTCACATCACATCATGCGAGCCGAGAAGAGAATTTATTCTCTCCTTTTTTTGGCAAATACATATCCCTAATGATCCTCTCTGGTTAATCTGTGAACAGTCGAACATTGTGCTGCCTGCATGCTTTTCTCTCTGGGATCATGAACAGCTGCTTGCTCATAATTATGTTGTCATTCATTGTTATTTGGAAGAGGAAACTCATACCGACAGCTATAATTTTTTCTTTATTTTTTTTGATAATTCCATACACTATATTTATTCACGGGTGTATACAGCAATGTGAACTGTTTGTGAAAAGTTCGCTTTAGCTGTAATGACTGTTGTTGTCATCATTTTCAGAAAAATACGAGATCCATCTTTCTCCTTGGGGCATTTGCTAGCGGAGCTGGTAGATCTGAAATATATTTAAGAGCTATAAAAAAAATGGAAGAGGATGAAAAAAAAAGAGAGAAGGATATGGATTGAGACGGAGAAGTAGCAGGCTGATTACAAGGTGTCAAAATTGCCAGGAGCAAGAAGGTGAAAGCAATCAGGGGTGAGAAGAGTGCAGCATTCGTGAGGGGCAACTAATTATCCATCTCATTTGTGGAGAGAAGCATTTGAGGCAGCTCTAGCCCACTGAATGGTGACAGATTGGTGCGGAGGAGAGGGGAGGTGTTAGAACAATGGAGCCCAGCTCACCATCATTACTGCATGCTAATCAGCAGTGCTTCTGCACCATCAGTCGGTGCTGCAGCAAGTTCGGGGAGACAGGGAAGTCACCAGCTTCAGGGGACTATAGTCATTCCTAAGTAGGGAATCGAGGGAAGAAGCATGCACAGTATAGCTGCGTGCAATTTGTTATTGTCTTTTTTAGGCTATCTTACGTCTATCCAAGTTGAAATAATTGTACAATGAGTGTTTCACATGCATTTAAGAGTAATAGTTATGTAGGGAATATACTAGGCAGTTTAATGGCTATATTCATGCCAGTGCCATTAAAAGTCTGAGTTATAGTTTGAGTGTTATGAAACTGTTATGAAATTAATGCACCACCTCTCTTGAGATGGATATAAGTTTAAAAATTCAAACATCACTGTGTGAATATTTATTATATAACTAACTAACTAGATAACTGATTCTTCTGTGACCAATATTTAAAGAAGACCAGTCAGGTGCAAAAGAGTGCAAAGGGAGATTTTCATTTGTGGTTTTTCAGTCATATAGTAAAACTACTTTAATAAAAAATAAATCAAAAATTGTAAAAATGTATTTTAATAAGTAGTAAATATCTATGACATTTCCTTTTCTTCTAGTTTTGTTGTTACAACTGACTATATGCAATATTTCCCTATAGACATAACATTTGTTTATGTTTGGTTTCTGACAATAATTGATACAAAGCAATTAGTGTTGTAATACATTCAAACAACAATAATGATTAAAATATCTCAACTCTATAAAAGAAACATACCCTTTTCTTTATTGGCCATTAATTGGATTATAACGGCAATAGACAATAGAGCGAAGAGTCACCATTGCCCTAAATCATTATTTTCAACAATTACTCTTTTAAATATTTAAACAATGTTTATTAAATTGTGCAATTGCTAAGGAAATATAACACAAATGGAAAAAATAGATTGTTAAAGGGTTTAATCAAATGGAAACAAAACAGAGAGATAGCAAGTGGATTAAGGTCACATGGCTAGAGTGCCCTCTTCACATCAATGTCATTTAGATAATTAACAACTTAGGAGAGAAGCATATTCAACTGTCTGTGCACTGGTCACCGTTGGCATGAGAGACTGCCAACTCTCATGGCGTTGTGAGCTGAGAGTATCACCTCACAGTTGTCTTGCCATGCGTTGGGCTCCTTGTGCTCCCTGTGCAGAAGTGGTGGAGCTGACTTTGTGTTCGATTAAATGTGTTGAAGCCATCGCTGCCTGTGCAAAGTCTCAGAACGGCCCCTCTCCATTGTGTTTGTTTCAGTGCTGGTCTGAGAGCCCTGATTTCTGGAGCAGAGATTTGGCAGTCACAGCAAGTGATGACAGAGGCAGTGGTGAGATCGCACCCGGAACCCCAAAGGAGGCTCACATTTCAGGCGGATGAGAGGTCCATTCAATACACAGAACACAAAAGCACTGATCAGTGGAGTTTGATGATGCTATTGTTCTGAAAACCTCACTGTTCAGCCACTACAGTAAAGACAACTTTTATTTTATTTTTTTATTTGGGGAGGGCTGAAGTGTTGGGTATTTGCAAACTTCTGAACTTTTTGAAGACATTTAGCTGCCAACTTGAAAAAAAAAGTTACAACTGAAAGTCTGGCTCTCAAGATGTCATCCTCCTGTTATTTTATTGTCGCCGTTAAATCAGTGTAGGTTGTTTTTCTTCTTGACACATGGGGGTGGGATTGAGCATGGGGATGTTTGCGGAATGGTAACTTGCAATTCAAGGGTTAAGGCAGCATGAAAGAATCCATTCTCGGTTTAATGACCTAGCCTTGCTGGGCGAGGACGACAGGGAACATGCTCTTGACTTGTACTGAATTTGCCAATTAACACCTCCAATAACAGGCTGCCTCTGAACATCACTAGTGTAGAGAAAGGAGGAGCAACTCTCATGCTTTGTTTTTCAGCCTCTGATCTCGTAATGATAAGGTCTGTGATTTCTTCATATGCAGAAAATTATTTTGCCTTATACACCATTTGGTTAAACCTAATATAGCAGAATTCTCTATTGTTCCAGTAGCTCTGAGAGAAACCCTTAGTTCAAGAGCTGTGTTTTCACTAACTATCAGGCTGGCAAAGTTGGAAATATTTTATTTTTCCTCATGCTACTTGAATCCTTACGTAGTTATTGGGCATTCTATTTTTCGCACACAGCCATATGGCCATGTAGAGCTTCAGTTAGACACATGGCTGGTATCTAAGATACACCGTGCTTGATTAGCTTTTTCCCTTCTTATTGTTGCACATGAAAATACAAGACAACAGTGCTGTCCTTGATAGATGTTTCAGGAAAAGATCTTTCCCTTCAAATAAGGTCCCCATTCTAGTCACCCCTCTGGTTTCACACATGCTTATCAGACTCCCAAACAACACCTAGTACAGGTGTGAATATCAAAATCCCCAGTGAAAATCACAGTAGATTCTCTCATGTGGTCTTCGGAGTCCTATTACCTACAGCAGTGGCTATGCATCGGGGCTGGGATGCTGCTGGCTAACAGCAACTGCAAAAACACCTTTGGCTAAGTGTAAGGTGGACCTCCTTACACCA